ATCAACCTCCAAGCATGGAGACTGCACAGCACTTTAGGACACCCTTCTTCTCCTGCCTGTCTGACCCAAGAAGGGAAAAAATGGAATCTGTCCGACTTCAGCTGTGGCCTACTGTGTCTCATTCCTCTTCCTATGACCACAGTAAAAGGTCTAACAATTGAATCAATAACCTCCTGACAGTCATTAGCAACCTTCTGCTTAGCTCACCCTAAGCCTGCAGTTTGTTACTGTCTGTCTTTCACGTATTATAATAGAATATTTTGGGTTGAAAAGGACCTTTAAGGTCATGCTGTCCAACTTTCCTGCTGTGGGCAAGACCCTCTTCCAGTAGATCAGATAGTTTAAAGGCCCGTGCAACCACATATTAACTTTTTCAGGAATGAGGTATCTTCTCTGGGCAACCCTTTTCAGTGCATCACCACTGTAATCATAAAGAATTTCTTTTTTACATAATCAAAATCTACCCTGTTTTGTTTAAAACCATTTCCACTTCTTCTCTCACCATAAGGTCTGCTAAAAAGTGTCTTTATCTTTCTTATAAGCCTTCTTTATCAATTGAAAGGTTGCTATTAGGTCTCCCTGGAGCCTTCTCTTTTCCAGGCTGAACAGTCCCCACTCTCTGTCTGTCTTAACTGGAAAGGTATTTCATCCCCCTGCTCAGTCCTGTGTCCCTATTCTGGGCCAGCTCTAACCATGTCTTTCCTATAGTGGGAGCTAATAGCTGGACACAGCACTCCAGGTGTGGTCTCACAAGAGGGTGACAGAGGGGCAGAATAACCTCTGTCCACCTGCTAGCCATGCCACTTTTGATGTAGCCCAGCATATGATTGATTTTCTGGGCTACAAAGGTACACTGCCAGCTCATGTCAAGTTTTCCATCCACCAGCATGCCCAAGTCCTTCTCCACACAGTTGCTCTCAATCCATTCCTCCCTCAGCATGTACTGATACTGGTGATCACCCTGACCCAGATGCAGGACCTTGCACCAGGCTTGTTTAACCTGATGAAGTTCACATGGACCCACTGCTCAAGCTTTTAGAGGTCCCACTGAATGGAATATCTTCCCTTATGCATATAAACTGCAGCGCTGCCCTTGTCAGCTGTGAAGTTGCTGAGGATGCACTCAATCCCACTGACAATGGCATCATTGATGAAGATATTAAATAGTTTTGGTCCCAATACAGACCCTTGAAGGGCACCACTTGATACTGGTTTCCAGTTGGATATTGAGCAGTTGACTCCAGTTCTTTGGATGTGGCCATCCTACCCATTCCTTATTGATTGAATGGTCCATCCTTCAAAACCCCATGTCTCCAATCTAGAGACAAGGATGTTGTGTGGGATGATGTCAAAGGCTTTAGCAAAGTTTAGGTAGCTGACATCCATAGCTCATTCCTTGTCCACTGAGGCAATCAGTCTATTGTAGGAGGTCACTAGATTAGTCAGTCATGGTTTGCGCTTGGTGAAGCCATGTTGGCTGTCTCTAAACACCTCCCTGTTTTCACATGTCTAGACATATTTTGGAAGAGGATTTGTTCTGTGATCTTAGTAGGGTGACACTCACTGCTTGGTGGATCCCAGAGCAATTCTTTCCACCATACTTAAAAATTACTTTGATATTTTGCTTTTCTCAATAATAGAGAACTTCAGGAGGCATAAAGGAAGGCAAGGATACTGATCTAATCGTAAGTAAATGGGAAGATTCAGTACTGCAGTTTACAGCTGTTGCTGCTCCTGATCGAGCTCCAGTTCCTATAGTTATCCTGTGCAGCCAGCTACAAATAGCTCCTAAGAACACCAGCAGACAGAGGGACCCTCACCAAAGGGCCCTGTGTCCAGGAAAGGGGAAT